AGGATCTTTGTTGGTTATGATAATTTGTCACTCAAGAGGATGGTTAAATAAAATAGTAATCTTGCTTTTCTTCTAACATTTACTCACCAAAATTCAAACATGCACGCATAAAGTGTGTGAATTGTTTAGTATTACATCTCACGCGTAGTTCGTGTAAAATCGGAAAGCAGACCTAACTCTGTCTTAATTCTCGCAAATGCAGCTTGAATTTTAAAGCTTATAGCCTTAAACATGTTGTTAAAATCAAACATATATCAACAACCCATTTGAATGATGAACCTTATTAAGCCACGTCACTTTATAATCATGTCAATATTAATTACAGAACTTCAATTCATTTGGTTTACTTTACCTTTTAATTAATCTTGTTCCACGACTTTTGTTTCGTCCTTGATACGAGAAACTGAGATAGCAAGTTCTTCCAAGAAGAGTTAAAACGAAGAAAACACAAATTTGATTTTTTGTCTCAACCAAAGAATATTATAAGTCTTGAGGTTTGACTAACATGTTTCTTATTGTGCGATGTCATGTATTTTATCATATAGAAACGCCATATACATTTGTGATCGGTCATATATATGGGTGGACTCAAAAATAGACCTGGACAATTAATTTTAAAAATGTGACGTAAATGTCAAACTAGTAGAAAAATCTTACAATGCTTTTTTTTTTTTTTCTTACAAAAAGATGTTTCTTTTGTTGGAGCATGAATATTCATACCCGTTGACAAAGAACTCTACATGAAGATTTTACACGTTATATATCAAATGATCAAGTTGTTACATAACGAAGCGCGCATCTATATAAAATAACAGGATAACTTGCGAAAATATGTTGTCACGCTGCATGCATGAATAATAAATTTACTGTTGTTCAAAAATAAAATTTATAAGAGGTTCACTAAGTTCTTGTATAGTAAATTTGGTTGGCTCTTTATATATTAATTGCAATGGGTGACTGAACATTGTTTATTTGTTAATTAGCAATGCAACGACGATATCTAGTCCTTCCTTTATTTTCTTTGTTCAGAGGTTGTTGACTTGTTGTTGTACCTTAAAAGAAAATTCATTTATCTTCTTAATCATCCATTGGCTTTCAAACAATGCACACCTGTTACAACGTACGTACATATGTGTGCAAATAATAATATTATATGGATACTTAACTTTAATCTATAAAAGAAACAATAACTACAATTTAAAAATATCAAACTAAATAAAACGAAAAAAGGATTGAGTCTAGAAGCTTAAGTTTGTCAACGTTATTGAAAGTTCTTGCAAAGTTTCTTAAGATGTACTGTATTAAATAAATAGAACTGATTATAATAATAGATAGGTTTTTAAAAAATTTAGAAATCCACTCAAAGTCTATTATTTAAGAAATTTTGAATGGATTTCTTAAATGTTTTAAGAATCCCATTCATTATTATCATCATTTTTATTTGTTTAATATATTTTAAGAAACTCATTAAAAACTTTTAATGGAAATGGTCTAAATTGTCGTTCGTTTCAATAACTAATTAATCGTAATTAAATATCTATACCATGGTAAAGGGACAAGTAACTGAGAATCTGAGATCGAATTAATGCACAAAACAAACAAAAACTGATGTATGTTAAACATTTTTCAAGTCATCAAATGCACCAAAATATTTATCGCTAAATTTGTATTACGACGGCTTAGTAAAAGAAAATAAGATCACTGCAAATCGCAAAAATGTCACAATTCCAATCGTACCACGAATTTCTTGGTCTAATTGCTATTTTAATCGAAGAATACATATTTAACTTGTAAGTAAAAAGGATATATATTTAGAGCAAAACATGTAAGAAGACTAATAATTAAGCAGAAGAGTGAGCGGCCCATTGGAGGGTTCCACCAACTTGTCGACTAGTTCTATAAAGTTCGGATGGTCCCTTCCGATTTAATTGAGTTCACCATTTTTCTCACTTATCAATTATCATTCAATTTCCTATTATTTTGAATAATATGTTATATGTCTACTTCAATTGTCTTATTAGTTATTACTAACCTATATATTAGATGGTTGGTCCATATCAAACTTTGATAGGTACTGGTTTTGATACCGACATGGCGACGTTTTAAAAATAATTCGGAATTGCATCGTTAGTCTGATTCCAACCAATGAATACGAATTCATGTTATCTCAACTGATACATTCAGCCGATTTTCTCTTGTTCTTCGATACGGCTACTCGAAGACTGATACAACATATTTTTGATAGATTTTTAATAATCCGCAAACGAAAGTCTACAACTTGCAAAATCAAAAACACCGCTCAACGTGAGTGTAAAATCATATTATCCGTCGTTGGGGACTCGACTTGGAGTTATGAAAAATTCAAATGTGAATCTGCAATACTATAAGATTACGATTGTGGAAAGAGTTAACATAATCAAATAGTAGTTTTATCAAGTTGGTAAAAGTTTGTGATCAGTTCTCTTTTCAGTTTACACTTAACTACTGTTGTATTCACAGGTGGTAGTAATCCGAACACGTTGGTAAGATGACTTCGTGTTGATTGTACATTTTGCTACTGTAGTGTTCACATCATATCGTAGAGAAAGCAATTGAATAGTAATATCAAATGGTTCATATCACGTACGTTGGTATAATTTTGTGATTGATTTCATGTTTGATTGTACATTTTCGTACTGTCGTATTCACATCACGGCTACAAACTTCAATAATTTAGTAGATTTCACATCAAAGAAACGTAAGGACATATGCATGCACACGGTTGGGAATAATTTAAGAAAATGTAAGTATTATAATATCATCAGACACTCGTCGAAAGCCTCAACAACCAAATCTTGTAAGTATTGTCATTTTGTGGGGTCCATCCGTACCATCTTTTTATATATAAATCTCAAAGTACATGCATGTAAAGTGGATCGGAATTATTACACCCTAAAAAACAAACAAAAGAATATTAGAAAATAAATAAATAAATTAGCAAAAAAGAAAAAAAAATAGAAAGAAAGAAACAACAAGAAAAAGTAAGATTGCGTGAGTAAAAAGGAATATGAAATTATTAAAACTTTTGAAAAGTAAAGTAGACAGAAAAAAGGGAAAAGAGTAAAACGCGTCCTTTTGATTGGTAGTGTTGAAAAGGTTGTATATGATGTTTCTATGAAACCTCTAGTCTTGATACCTTAGTTAATAAAAATATATGGATCGTGTAAATTTCATAGGAGGGTAAAGGTTCTTTGAACTCTTTAGCAACTATAGAATTCGAGTTCAATACAAAAGATTTTAGACAAATAAAGTTATACTCGACTGGTTTCTTTCAAAGTTAAGTATCTAACTATATATTCATTGGTCAATTGATATTTGGTTTTGTCCCACATTTGTAATAGAATAAACTTCTAGAAAAAAAGGAGTTATGTCGTACTTAACCATCTACTTTTTCTTCTTAAACCTTCCCATTAATGTTATAATATGCTTGAGGATAAAAAGTCAGTGAAAAAAGCAAAGAGGATCAGGATACATATACCACAAGATTTATGTAAATGTTTCGATGGAAAAAGACATACAAAAAAAAAGAGTTCTTATCTTTGTAAGCTCACTGGAATATCATAATGCAACCATTAGCACAGTGGAGTCCAACCAGCGATAGAACACTTTTTTATATCCCTTGATTCTTTGATACACATCTTAGTTTGCAAAGTCCCAATTTACTCACAGACTCTTATCTTCTTGCACCATACCTTTGGCTTTAATCCACATGGGGTAGTTTAAACTTTGTAATTTGTAAGTAACATGAAACTAATCTTTGTTAATCATTTCTAGGTTTGATGTACGTAGATTATATATACTCTATGCAAGTTTTGAGATTAGTACAAGTTAAAATCCACCAAATAAATATGTTGGAATAGTTACCAAGGATGGCTTAGGATATAATCGTTTACATAACATACGCAAATGTGTTTGCTTTTACAATTTGTAGTTTTGCAAGTTTTTAAGTTGGACCAAAAAAAAAAGCAATTTGTAGATAATGTTTGACAACAATACTAAAGCAATATATTTTTAAGATAAATAATAAGAAGAATATCCAAAATATCAAAAAAAAAGAAAAAGTTTGTTCTCCGAGATTACCCACATCTTGTATTTTATGAAGTCTTCCTATAATTATTTAGAAAGTCTCAATATTCTGTGATATTTTTGTAATTTAAAATCAAAATTGAAAAATTGCCAACAAAATCAGCATCAAGCATTAATGGGTGTCTGATATAGGGATCAAAGTTTAGTAAAAGTCCAATTAAAGCCAGTGCCCACAATCTTCCGAGAATAACAGACTGGGTCCGGTCAACCCATGACCGAACCTGAATCGTAATTTGTCCCCATTGTAATACTACGACCAAAGACAACGAGAGAAAGAGACTCGATTTACATTTTACTGAGCTATAGTTATTCAAATCCAAGACGGACTTCTTCTTTCATTCCAATATTAATATTTTACTAACCAATAGCTTGGAAATGCCAGAATTTCTGAGGCCTCAAATACTTTAATTTATTCAATTGATCAATTATTGGACTGATACATTCCGACATTCGGAACGGATCTCAATATTGATCAGATGATTCGGTTCGGAGCTTCAAAGCAAGGCTTTAATCGAATTGTAGGATGCTATAAATGCGATGTAACACGACTTGTTTAAAAAGAAAAAAAACACACACACACACACACACAATCCAATGCATGCATTTTTGTAGAATCAAAATGGAAAGGGATTTTTTTTCCAGAAAATGAAATCCCAAAACAAACCCAGAAAATCTCGCATATGCAAAAATGTCATCTGTGACATTTTGTGAAACACTAACAACATATAGACTCAAACACGACTCAGCAAGTGAACATGACACTGACAAAAACATGTATCAATAAAAAAAAAATAAAAAAAAAAAGCCAAGTCTTCGATGGGATTTTTAAAACACATCAGGCTATATTGATTACCTTGTTGTGCCTTTGTGTAATCTTAAGCTGAAGGAACAGACTCCTCAGTTTTCTTTTCTTCAACAGCTTTCTCTGCTACTTTCTCCACTGGTTTCTCTTCCTTTTTCTCCTCTGTTTCTTTCTCTTCCACTGTTAACTTCTCAAGAAGACCAGCTGTATCAGAGACGTCTTTGCTCTCTTCTTTCTCTTCTTCAGATTCAGCGACTTCCTTGAACTTTTGCATAAATGCTTTGCAGTCTGATAATCGTAAAAAAAAGATTCCATTAAACACACAAACAAAACATTAAACGAAACCAAACTCGGTAAAAGTGTTTCCAATACTCCACAGCTCAGAGTCTCATCTCCAGCTCAATCTCAAGCTACACTGAAGCAACCAGTATTATTTACAGCAGAGCGCAGGAGTCAGGACTACTTTTGTCTACGTACATCATATACTTGAAGAGTAACTTTCGAATCTACATATATACCCGAATACATATAGTTTGTTTGATTGCCACTTTTAAAAAGGTTAAATTTTAAGCAGTAACGATAATTCTCTACAATTTCTGATAAGTGAGAGGGGCATAGTATATCTAAATGGGAAACTAAGTCAAACAAAATTCAAAGAACTAAATATGGCAAACAATATATAAGCTTCTTGCAGTCATATGGTAATATCACTAAGTTGAAGATCCTCGAGCCATAAATCATATACTATCTGCATTCTAGACTTTTAACAAGTATTAAGCAATAAGAGAAATGAAAGTAAGTACTGATTCCGAAGGTTGAAGCTAATATAAGGGCATGGCAGAATGATCATGTTCACAAATATGAGACAGATCAGTGCTACTATAAGCAACAAGCATCAGATAATGAGATTCAATCAAGTGAGTAAAAAAAAAATACACAATAGAGATTCACACTCACTCTCAACTGAAGCAAAGCGGATACAGAAAAGCTCATCTTTCAATTCACCATCGGAGAAATCACGAGCGTGCCATACGCAAGACTTGTCGTTCCCAGCGTGTTCCTGAACAGTCATGCCCGATGTAACTGCAGAAAACTCGGAGAGGAGAAGATCAAAACGAGTGTAAATTACAAATACAACAGATCCAGGAACAGGAACAGTGTACACCAGCTTAAAGCAAGTGCGATGGAATTGTATTGTACCGAGATGATTAGCACAGATCTTCAGAGTTTTCGATTGCCTCATAACGAGACGAATCTTCCCAGACTCCTTATGCTTTAAGAACTTTACAGTACCAGCACCTCTCTCCTTCCATTGACTCCCATCTTTATCGAACCGATACAGCTTCGATTTCCTACAGATTCGCAAGCCACAATCCTGATCAAACAATCTCACGACCAAAAATCTCCACATCGAAACTAAACCCTAGAACTTAGTGAAACTACAGAAACGATCAGTCAGATCCAGTGCAATTAGATGAAAGGATCTGATATAAACCAAATAAGAGTTATACATACAGATCGAGGATGGTATCTTCGTCTTCTTCACCGGTGGTGACGGCGACTTCTTCTAGCCTGACGATCGGAGCAACCTGAGCACCGGTGTCTTCATCCTCGTTGGCTCCTGACTCTTCCTCGTCTTTGTGCTCACGCTCTGGCTCGTTGCTGATGCTCGCCATCGTATCAAAAATCAAATCAAAGCTTGCTGGTTGGTTCAGTTGTTGGATACACAGTGCGCACTAGATTCAAGGAGAGGATTTTGGGAGAGTTTTGTAGAAACTAGAAAGGATACAAGACGACGGTGCTTTGATAGAAATGAATCGTAGAAGTAATTGGGCCTGGCAAACGTTTATTCAAGAAGCTAGCTATGGGCCCATTAATCAATGCCCAACAAGCTGAATCAACTCGACTTTAGTTTGTTTCTCTTCATCATGTTGTCACCAAATGCCATAATGCGGACAGAATCCAGTAATGACACAACTGAAGCTGCACAAAGCACTATGCTACAAGTACTTGTCAACAAATTTGATTTAAGACTATTTTAAGTGTATAATGGTATTAAAATCGGTGAAAGATTCACGTAGTGGAGTCAAATAAAGAGAATATATTTCATGAAGAATCTCAATTTTTAAAAGGATAAAAAAAAAGTCGCTAGGAAAGATAAAAATGTCCAAATGTTTCGAACCAATTTCAAGAAAACCACATCGACATTCCCTCAAAAAGACCACCAAACCGGACTGAGAAAAGATTAAAAACAACAACAAACAAGTGTTTTAAATTCAAATCCTTGAAGGAAGAGCAGAGAAAGTAGCCGAAACATCAAAAACCTATGGCTCCACAACAGTAACCTGTTCCCACTCTCCATCAACCGCCTCTTTCCACACCGACACGTTGTTGTTCCCATCGGAAACAGCCAGCAAGTTACCGGTCAACGACCACGAGACCCGCCACACCGGTGTCATAAAGTCCTTGAGAACCTTACCTTCCCATTGCTCACCTTCTTTTCCCACCGTCCATATGATCACTTTCCCATCTTGTGAGCCACTAGCTATGGTGGACTTTGGGAGACCCAAGTTCGGTGCCCAAGCCACATCACGGACCCAATCAGTGTGCTTTTGAAGAGCCGGGAAGCAATCCATCTTCCACGACCCGTTCGAGAGCTTCCACACTTTCACGGTGTTATCACACCCACCAGAAGCTAGCTTGTAAACCGGATCGAGCAAACCGGAGCTGACAAGAGCACCAGGAGCTGTGGCTGGTGCCCAAGAGACCGAAGTGACTCCGACCGGATGCGCTTGGTCGATCTTCGTTGTGTCCCAGCCACCGTCAGCACGGCCTGTGAAAACCGAGATGTTTCCATCAGATGAACCGCAAGCCAAGGATAGTCCGAGTTCATGAGGAGCCCAAGCAATGGAGTTGACTGAAGTTTTGTGGTCTGTGAAGACGTGAGCTTGGGTCCATTGGTTTTGGTTGCCTTCTTTCCAGAGTATGACTTGACCATCGTAGGAGCATGAAGCTAGGATTGATCCGAACTTTGGGTGAGCCCATGCGACCTCCCAGACAGGGCCACGGTGGCCGGTCAACGTAGCTAGGTGCTGCGATGCGCCGTTGCTGTTGCTGACACCGGTTATCTTGATGGTGCAGTCAGATGAGGCAGTTGCAACTCGCTTTCCGTAGTAATCCATTTGCACATCATGTACAGTGTCCTCGTGACCCGTTTCAATCTTCTGTCCTGGCATGTTTCCTGGATGATTTTTCCCTGCAAAATTGTGGTATAAGAACACACACAGCAAAAAGAGCCTGTAATCGTAAAACAATGATCATGGCACAAAAAAATTGAAGAAACTATAAGCTTGATAATACATCTTTCTTCAAATAGTGGAAACAGTGTAAAAGCTCATATGCTATAATTGTAAAACAAAGATCATGGCACAAACAGTTGAAGAAGCAGAGATTTGAAACTATAAGGCTGATAATGGCACGTCGATGTTCAGAGTATTACGTGTTTTCTAGATAGTCGATGAGCAGCACATGTAAGCACATTATATATAAAGTCAGGAAAGATCTTTACATGATTATGAATAGCACGAAAGTTTCAGTCAGAGACACGATAACAATGTAACAGTCAGTCAATTTTCAGAGAGCAACTTTTAATTTGAACCTATAATCACGAGTAATCAACATCGCAGTGATGAATTACATACACCACAATACCAGAAAAGAGATTAACAACGAACCAGAGTAGTCAATCCTAAGATCGAAACTCGACTCGCAGATCCTAAGGGCAGAGGGTTTCCTAATCGAATCGATTCAAACACAAAAATCGAAGCTAAGATATCGAATCCGAAGCAGAATGAATGGAACGGGAAAAATATAATTCGTAAATTGACAGAAATGGATCCAAAATTCGAGAGCTAATTGTACAAATTCGACTCAATTAGATGGATCACGAGGTCAGAGTCACAATACAAAACAGATCAAACGAAGATCGATCACGCTGAAAATTCAATCACAATTGCGAACGGAACCCTAGCTTAGAATTACCGAGACAGCTCAGAAAACAGAGATATTGAAGAACGCAATGGGCAGAAACAACTCAGGGAAGAGATAGCGTACCTGAAAGCACGGTCGATCGGCTGAGAGACGCCGGAATGTGAATTGAAGAAGAATATCGACGGAGAAGAAAACGTTAGAGGAAACAGTGGGGAGTTTTTTTTTTTCCTGTTTCTAGCGTTGGTATAAGCTGATGAAAAGAAAAATAGATCTGACTTTTCGAGAAGGAAAATAAACAAAGTTATCTAAACCGGAGGCCAGACTCTAAACCGGGTGGATCTAATAGAAAACCGGATAAAAGTTAGAAGATTACGAGCAATATGATTCTTTAGATTAGATCATCATGTTATTAATTGACAAACAATTTAAGTGGCCTGTGATTGAAAGTTATGATGATTGATTATCCTTTATCTTTTGAATAAAAAGATATAATTTATTTTTAATAAAACCAGTTAATTAGAATAATTTTAATTAAATATTAATTTAAAAAATATAAATTGTATTACCAATTATTATTATCAATCTTCTGTGATATTTATTTTTATATAAATCTAATTACATATTCTTTGCAGCCAAACCTAATTAGATTAGTGAATGCATTTTTTTGATTTATATGATCTGCCGCAATATAATAGAATAAATTAAAACCTTAATTTCTTTGTATAAATATATTACAATCACTAATCAAGTTCAGAAGAGTTGGTACACATATATCGATTGCATAACCCACAATATTGAAGAGTTGATATTATTTCTCTATAGTCTTAGTGTTTTCTTCATGGGTTATTTTTTATTTTCCTTTCTGGTTTGTGATCTTTTGTAGATCGATCTGTAACATGGCGTGTTGAACAAAGTTCGTTCTATATATCATAATTAGTCTATTGAACTTTTGTATTTAATTTGTTTTTTATTGTTATTGCTTTTGTCGTTTTTGAGCTCCGGTAGAAATTTGGTAATCTGAACTTTTTATTCAGCTGCATGGTTTATGTGCTCCTATCGACCAACAGGTACCTAACGAGAAACTATTGTTTTCGGTAGTTTCATTATTTGTGGCTGAACTCTTCCTTTAGCTCTGTGCTTGATGTTTTCGTTTAGGGTTTCTAATCTCCAAGACATCACTTTAGTTCTATAGTTTCCAATGATCTTTTTACCATCATCGAGATGATAAAAAAACATATGAAAAATATTTATTCAGTTTTTAAATTATGTCCTCTGTTTTTTTCTCTTTTTTAGTTTCTAATATCCTTATGTTTAAAGGTTTATGTTTAAAACCTATGTTTGATTATACAGCTTTCTGACTGTACTTGCAGGGTTAAAGCCATCAAATATGTTGTTGCTGCGTAATGTTGTTCCACGACCTGCTTATAAGGAGCGATTTCAACTGTAAGCTGTTATTGCTCTTTCTTCTTTTTTCTGCATTCGTTTTTGTTTCAAATGTGTCTTTTCAAGTCTTGATTTTTAAACCTGTCAGGTTTGGCCTCCTCGAGAAAAAGGTTTGGCCTCCTTGAGAAGCATAAGGGTTATGTTATTCGAGTTAAATCTTACCACCAAAAAGAGGGCATTAACGGGTATATTTTTCTGTTTATAATATGTTGTTAACACCTCAGACCTTTAACATAATATATTTATGGATTGTTTTAATTAAATATTGTGAAATATTTTTTTTTAGGGATTTTTTTATTTCTGTAAAATAGCAAAAATCTTAATTTTCTACAAAAACTTAAGCAGAAGACGGCATTCAAGAATCCATATGAGAGTTTTACTCTAAGATGATCAATAGTAAAACAGTTGGTGGAGTTCATAAACCAATGTAATCATATCAAAATTTAACATATATTGCTAATCATATCAAAATTTTACATATATTGCTAACCTCATGGATTCTCTTACTCTTGGTTTTGTAAATTTTGATACAGTTATGTTTTTCAGGGAAAAAATAAATAAATACAATGCAGAAGAGCTCATGATAATTAAGACTCAAGACATCAAATATGTGTTCCAAAAGTGGTGTAGTGAGAAAAAAGTAAGTTTATCATTCTTTCATTCTCAATTCATGAGTTTTCTATTTGCAATCATATTTAGCCAAATTTTTCTTTAGTAAAAAATCATCAACTGCATCACTGCAATGTACTAAGGGTCATTCGAGCCGTAGACATGTGTACTTTGCAGAAGACAGGTTACGTCTTGACAATTAATTCATTCTTTACTTTGCTGTAGCTTTTATAATTTTCTCATTCCATGTGAAGTTTGCACATCTCCATTCTCATAACATTCAAAATTTTGTGCTGTCATATGATCTATAACTCTGGTTTTTCGTGATCAGAGAGGAGGCTAAAGAACTGGAGTTACAAACTAGAAGCAGAAGTGGTGATATCTCTCTGATAAGCCCCAACTCAGGAGGGATGATAAGCCCTTTTCGTCCATATTTTGATGACGGTCTCATATTCATATTATAGAGGACTTCTCTAAACTATAAACATGTTTAGTAGTAAATTTGAAAGAGAAGATGACTTTCCGATACACTATTGATGATATATTTTAGAGTCTTCTAATCTATGAGACATCTATTTAGTTATATAGTTTTAATTATGTATTTATTTCTTTTCTGTTGAAGTTTTCTTAAATGTCTTTTGTTTCTCACTTTGTTCTTTATATCTATTTCGAAACAGAAGTAAGAAGAGGGTAGAATTATGATCTCTATTTATGATATTAAAATATATTATGTGAAGACATGATGATGATGATGAATCAAAAGAAATAGTAATGAAGCAGAAAAAGAGAAGTCTAGAAGAGGAATAAGAAATATCTTTTTTTGTTTCCGGATCCTATCTACTTCTTCATTCTGGTTTTTGCTCTTGATCTTTTATGTTTGATAGGCAGGGAAAGTGATCAAAAATCATTGATTTTGGCATCAAAGCATGCAGGTATAGATTAGTCCATTGTGACTTGATATGGTACAAGAGATAATAACATTGTATATCTCTTTGTATCTATCTACAAACTAAAGCACAAGTGGTGAAGATGGTGAAGAAGGTGTTGTGTACTCAATGGTTACTAGACATAGAGGATCGACATGTCTTGAGAAAGTAAAAGGATGCACTAGCAAAGATTGAAAAGAAAGATAAGCATAACCGGATTTTGTTGTTGAGGATCCCAATCAGGAGAGGAAAAAAAGCCTATATTATTTTACTCCGATAAAATCCTGAGAATTATATGTTCGACCTAATTAACCACGAGTGATATGGTTTATACTTAAATAATGCCTTAATTGCATCGACATATCGAATATAGGCAAAATGATATTATATTCAAGAATACCTTAATAGTATTGAAGTTTCAAGTCTTCCTAATCATGATCTAAGGTTAAAAATTAGAATTACTATTATGTTGCTTAGGAACATTGATCCTCGAGGTGGTCGGTTAAAAATTAGAATTCCTATTATGTTACTTAGGAACATTGACCCTCAAGGTGGTATGTGTAATGGTACAAGATTAATTGTAACACAAATGACAGCATATATGCATATATGCATATATGAGGCTAAGTTTATTACAGGAAATAGAGTTGGCCAAAAGGTCTTAAATATGTTTGTTTCACCGTCTGAAGTTCTAGGTTCCCATTTAGAATGAGACGTCTACAATTTTTTTATAAATCTTGCTTTCGCAATGACTATAAACAAAAGTCAGGGGTAGAGAAAGTTGGACTTTTCTTACCAATACTGGTGTTTTCACATGGATAGTTATATGTAAGTTGTCTTTGGGATAACAGCATGGTTTGGTTTGAAGATCTTAATAACTTATGAGAAAGAAAAACAAAAAAATGAACAATAAACGTTGTTTATAAAGAAGTGTTTCAGAATATCTAGCATTTCTATTTATTTGGATTTTTCTGATTTTATATGTTTTGTTGGTTTATCTGCAAGATTTGAAATTCAATTAAAAAAATTATACACATGTTTTAGTATATGTTTTATTGAATTTTAGTTTACCTCGTTTGGCTTATTTAGGATTGTTCAAATAAATTGAGGTTTATGACTATAGGGAATCAATGTTTAATAGGACCGCTACTATCCACACTTTTTTACAATAAATCTCGCACACTCCAAATGTTTATGAGTTCTCTTGTGATGATGTGATTCAACTATAGCTTGATCATCTACGTTCATAAATAATAATAAAACTTAAATAATTTATTAGTAGATTCTTTGGCCCGCGTATGCCGTGGACAGTATACCTAGTACAGTTGATTGCAAAATAAACAAAGAAGAGTTAAAAGAATAAATTTTATAAAGATGATCGAAACCACAAATGAAGGGAAACAATTGATCGAAGAGACTGTTCAAAACCAAAATCAGATGAAGAAAAAAGAAAAAAGAAAAAACTCAACGATAGTTATCGAAACGTGACCATAGCCTTGAGTGATAAAAAGTGATGATCAAATTAGTGACTTTCGGAAAAAATCTGTTGGCTCTATACGACATAAGAAATTTGTCAAAATTTACTTAGTGGAATAATTAGTCATAGTCACGGGTAAAAACATGACTTTAAAAAAAAAAAAAAAAAAACATGACTTTTTGGATCTTCATGCAAATTAAAGATTATTGATAATATCGTAAAAGAAGAAGCTTTCGTCTTAACAACAGCATAACAGGGACCCGGTTTTATGGAATTACCATAAAACTTATGAATCTTTTAAAATACTCCCCCCCCCCCACCCCCACCCCCCCCCCACAGAATTGGTTGTCTTCGTCTAGACTTTTTCAGATTTGAAATTGGTTTAAGACTGCTAAGACCAATCTCAATAGTGATATAGAGGGGTCTAATGAAGAGTGTCTAATATTATACTTAAATAAAAAAATTGTGAAGAGTCTAAAATAGAAAAAATAAGATTTTTTGGGTTAAGAACGGACAGGTGGCAAAATGTAAATAGACAAAAAAAAATTAACACACAAAATCTTTTATTTTTTTTTCTCGTCTCTCTCTCCGGCAAACTGAATAAAAAAGATCAAGAGGAGCCACGAATTGAGAAAGAAGATCAAGAGGAGCCAAAGCTAGCTCGATCCATCAGTCTGTTAATAAAAGAAAAAAAAAAGAAGATTTGATACAGAAGCTAGAGGATGAAGGCGAAGTTGGAGACCCAGAAGCGAAGGACAACGAGGATCTCATCAGAGTCTATGCCACTGCTCTCAATTGCACTGATACTCTCCAGAGACTTGGCTCTTACCCTCCATCGCCTGGCTCTAGCCCTTACCTTGGTCTCGAGTGTTCCAGAACCATCAATTCTATTAGCAAGAGCGTCTCTCTTTGGAAGGTCAGAGATTAGGTATACTAATTCTCCTTTTTTCTCTGATTTTCGTTTTTGGAAATTGGGGATTAATACTCAGGTTGGGGTTTTTGGGTTTGATGTCTTTGTGTTAACCATGAAATCTGTGAGCTTGAATTATGAGTTATGACTGGTGTGAATATGCTACTGAGTACTCTCACTCATGTTTTTAGTGAATTATGATTCAATGACTGAACATTTTAAAGTAGAATTTGAGACATTTCTGGTTGCAAATCGTTTTCATTTCACTGAGTGTATGTCTTGGATCGCCTTCAGTTTCACTTTAGGCTTAGGCCAATGAGTACGAGTTTGTGTTTCTTTCCTCTTCTCTCTGTCTTCTCCTGCAAATCAATTCCTGAATTTTTTTAATAGTTTGCAGAAATGATTTCGATTAGTTTTTAAACTTTATCTCTTGTAGATTATGAGTCTATGAAGTTTCTATTTCTTGTTCAGACCAATGAGATAAGATTGTTGGGACATCAAAGTTAAGCCACCAAGGCTAAAGCTCATACAATCTATTATGAGAAAGCAACGTTTATATTGAGGAAAGTGCAAAGTTTTTTTTGGGTCTTGTAAAATGCAATCTTATTATGAGACTGTATTGACTCTTTTTGTGTGTCTCCTACTGCTATACTTGATTGCTGTCTTGCCTAATTTGGTATGATAGTTTGTCCTGTATATCAGGATATTGACTTATAAGCTCATTTTTGGCAGGATCTTTGAGAATGATCTTTTCAAACAGGACTGGAGGTCTAGGAAGAAGATTGAGATACTTCAGTACATGACTCTCAAATGGGCGCTTGCTTTCCTTATCGGTTTAGCCACTGGCCTCGTTGGTTTCTTAAATAATCTCGTAGTTGGCAATATAGCTGGATTCAAACTCTTGCTCAACGGTAATCTCATGCTCAAGGAAAATTAAGTCTAGCTTTCATTGTTTCATCTCTGCTTCTACAGCATATTTTAACTCTTATATATCTGTTTTGAATTCAGTTGATGCTGTGTTTTAATTCTGTTGTTCTTTTAAGTTCATTTTGGATGTTTATTAATACAGCTATGAGAATTATGGACACAAGTAAATTAAGTCTTTTCATTCAAGGGGTAAAAGGTAATCAACCATTATAATTTGCAATCATAGTCCCACTTGTTTGTCAATTAATAATATGAGTGTTATATAGATGTGTGTTTGTCATCAATTTCATTGCCATGGGCTTTGTCCAAGTCCAGCAGGCCCATCAGATTCTATCATGTCATTCACTAATATGCAATGAAAGTGTGCAAATACTGAACAAAAAATTATAGCTATTCAACATAATATACCTAGATATATATACAATTAAAGCTCAACACAAAATACATAAAATGACATTTTATGGTTCTTCATTTGTAAATATTGGTTACTTTGTTTTTTTATTTGGAAACTTTTGAGTTTGAAAATTATTAAATAATTATTTCAATTTCTCTTCTTATTTAAAAAAGAAATTTCATTCTGAATCAATATATTTGTATCATGTGTTTTACCTAGTACACCAACATATGCATATATAAATTTTATATCAAAGTTACATATAACAAAAATGTTCACGGTAGATTTCCATTTTCTACTTCTATATGCTTTTGCAGTTCGACTAAGAAGACCCAATATTTGGTTGAAGATCTATATCGTGGTATGCCTCTCTTCACTGCACGTCTCCGATCAACCCTTGCACTCCATTAACTTCGTTGCTCTCACTCATTTCAATCGCTTTATTTATTTATTTATGTGTGTATTCGGAAAGACTCAATTTTGATGAACAATATTTATAATTGGGTGGTACCTATGCAATGCAAAACCTTTAAACTTTGTACTTTATAACTTTTACCAGTTTATTAACTTTATCCATTTTCTTACATTATCTATATCAAAGATTCAATCTTCTTTAGATGAAGCTTATGATATATTATTTTCTTTGACATCCACCATTATTGGTTCCTCTTTCGCCACATTGTCTTTCACTGCACTGCTATGAATTCCTCTTCTCCAATCAACCCTAACTTTAAATCAACCTGCGAGGCCTTGCAGCTTCTCCGATCAACCCTTACACTCCATTAACTTGGTTGTTTCTCACTCATTTTAATCTTTATTTCTGATTTACTTATGTTGTTGAAGAAGTAATACGTTCCATAGTATAAGCGTCACAGATAAAATCTCAAACATACATTCCAAGTTTTCAGATATAATTTCATAATCCCATTTTCAGATATTTTCCTTTACATCTAAGATATTTTACTCTATTCAAAATCATAAATTCAGATTAGGTTTTGTTTTGCCTTAATTCCGTAGGTATTGCTGGAACCTATAAAGGCGACTAGTGAGTTAATTACCCTTGTTTTAGCTTTATACAACGCTCTTCTTCTTCTTCTTATTATTAAGCGGCTTATCGAATTATTGTTTTTGCATGTCATCACTATGATATGAATAAGATATTGGGAAAAGATGTCTTCTTAATTAGCAGGACTAATAATTTTGAGGTTCTTTAAAATTACTATTGTTTCTAAACTTTGAGGCGTTAAAAGAGAAACCTCTGAAGGTTAGAGTTCTTATATAAAAAAATTACATATTTTAATTCATCATGCTTTGGAAATAACATCATGATTAGCTAACATCATTTTGACCCAAAAAAAGAGATTAGCTAACATCATAATTTTGTTACCCAAAGTACCTCTACGACCTTAAACCAATTTCGAATATCAAATTCCTAATCCCAATTCAGTGAGATAATTCCATGACCACACATTGCATTTTCATATTCAGCGAAAGGAGCAAATTTATGTTAGTATACATACAAGTAAAGAATACGATCAATTGTGATCATAAGAAAGACATTCAGCCATATATGAATTCATTGATCCAAACAGGTGATTTCAATAAAAGATATGCTAATGTACATACACGCCAAATCTGAACCTTAAGAAATTACATTTAAGGAAATTCTATTTCAAAATAATTCGATATATATACATTTCTCAAATTGCGTTCTTCATAGAATTATCTTAAATCAAATAGAATAGATAGGAGGTGGAATTGAACAAACACAACTGAACAATAAAAAACGCTGATGAACTAATTAACTCGATTCGACACGGCTCGAAATGTTGGTTGAAGTTGTAATTTTATCCTTTCTCTAATAAGAGCATTGAAAATTATAAAACATTAATTAAGTACGTAAGTAGGTGACGTCAGTATATGTGTTTGTTATAAACTCGTAAAAAAGTTAATTATTTAGTATGTGTACGGGACAAGCAAATGCAAAAACTAGTATTATAAGTGTAATTAAGTACAATTATCCATTAAAAAAGGTCAAGAAAAGTGTTGCAAGAAAATAAATAAAATTTTTTGAAGAAGAGATAAGTGATGACGAGAGTGGAGAATGTTCTTTTTTAATTTAGCGTATTATTTATGTTGATACCTTTCTCCAAATTAAAAACTTGTGGAGTTGCGGTAAGCCAACATTGCCCACTAAACTTCATCGTCATCTTCCATTTTTTTCTCCCCGTTTCCTTATTAATTGTCTGCCTTTTTAAACATTGATCAAAAGTTTATAGTTCACATCGACTATTTGACCTAACAATTTTATCCACACCAAGAACAAAATTAAGGAGATGCTGACAGTTTCATGTTGACCCTTAATCACTTGCTTTATTAGGCTTTATGCTACTAATTATGTGGTCTTAGTTCTTTAACAACCTTTGATTCTTTTTACTCTATATTATAAAGAAAAACAAATATTTGGTCAAGAAGCTACCAAACCAAAGTTGGGTGTGCGTAAATGAAGAGTTATCAACAAAAGAAGGCAACAGTTGAGAGTTAGGACACTTATATCAGACCACCACGTAAAAGAGTTTTCAAGAAATAAGATAGACCGATCCGAATCACATGCAATACCAAACAATAAAAGTTAAGGCTGAGAATGAAAGATAGATTTTTTTTCCGAAATTTCTTCTTCTTATTATTATTATTTTGATGATGATGATAAGTTTGATAACAACAATATACAATTCGAATAACAATACTGGTGTAAAACGTGGCATATTTCTGAATATTCTCTACCACCAATAACAACACCAACAACAATATATTATCACACGTCATCACCGACGCCGAGACCGACGCCGACGCAGACTCTTCATTTTCTGACGGTGTAACAGAATCATCGGTAGACTCTAATTCCGATTCTACCCCTGTTGAAACTGGATATTCGCATTTTGCCCTTAACTCTTCGGAAGCATCGCTTCTAACCTCAGTCCAGCCGTTTGATTCCCAAATTGCCCCTTCGGTCGACGCTAATTTACTAATCCTTGCCATAGCCGAAACGATAGTTTCAAGACTCGACCCGTCGCTCTCTTCTTCTTCTTCTTCTTCTTCTTCGAACTCCGAGTTGACCCAGTCCAATACGCAACGCGGAGACGACTCGGTGAAAAACGAGTGATGATCTTGACATAGAAACGGATGCTCCAAAAGCTGCTCGCAAGTCCATCTCTGACTCCGATCTCGTTTCAGGCATTTTCCCAAGAACTCGCGACCGAGTTCCGAAATTCCCGCCGGAATAAAAGGTGACTCGTTTGAAAACCCGATTCGACTCAGCGAGTCGAAACCATGATCTTCCCAGGCTGGTTTCCCGGTGAGCATCTCGATGACCGTACAGCCGAGAGACCACACGTCACTCTCCGGTCCTTGATACTCTCTTCTTACCACCTCCGGAGCCATCCATAGCGGGCTTCCACGTGGCGCAACCCCAACCGTCGCTTTTTCAAACTCCACCGCCGATCCGAAATCCGCCAGCTTAACGGAGCTTCCACCGTTAACGACGAGGACATTCTTCGATTTAACGTCGCAGTGAACGATTCCGTTAGCGTGAACGTGACGGAGAGCGGAGACGAGACACCAGACGTAACGGCGGAGCAGAGTTTCCTCAACGATTATTCCACCGTTAGCCACGTCACCTTCCGGTAAATACTCCAAGTGGAGATTCCGAAACGACACCGTTCCTTCTCTAGACACGTCATCACCGAGGAATCTCACGATGTGTAGGTGAGTCTTGAGAGAGCGGAGGATTCCGATTTCATTCTCGAGCGACTCGGCTTGAGCAGGAAGACACGTGGCGAGATCTACTGACTTGACGGCGAAAACTCCACCGTCGATTCTACTCACGGCTTTGCTTACTGTTCCAAAACATCCTCTTCCAATACAATTGCCTCGAATCCAAGAAGAAGAAGAAGAAGAAGCGTTTGTGATGATGCTCTGTTTCTCCATGTGTACTTAAGTTTTTTTTTCTTGTTTTTTGTTTGCTAACTAACTTTCGTGTGTAAATTCTCAAGGACACACGACTGTATTTATACGTGTGTCGAACTGTCAAATGTGAACGAGAAATAAAGTTGGAATTTTTTATTATTTGAAGTTTCTGACGTGGACGTTTTCCTTTCGACTTGTCTTTCTGAATTTTGAAATCGTGAAGCCATTTTTCTAAAAGGAGAGTTTCCCACTTGGGAAATTCAGAACAGAGGTAAAATAAAAACACTTGGATTAACTATTAAGTTTAATTAAGAGTTTAAGACAAATGGATATAATTAAGAAAGAACGGTTTTGATGACGTCAGTACGACACTTGGAGAAGTTCTCGGGATGTTTTGTAAGAAACCGAGTACTTTCCATTTTATCCTTATCAACAAAAATGAATCAACTTGCGATTTGATCAGGTCCGTTGATTGGTTACCCTAAAAGGATAAAATGGATAAGTCAACGGCTCTCGTTTTTACGCAATCTTAAATTCTTCTCTCTTTTTGCTTCAAATTTTCAACAAAATAAGAAAATTGTTTAGGCCATTAGGTTTTTTTTTTTTTTTTTTGAAAATTTGCCATAAGGTTTAATTAAGGCCGACAAGTGATGAGATCTCTCCGACGAATCGTGGGAACGGCAAACTAACAAAACGTGTCGATTGATTTTCGGACGACGTTTGTTCTGTTGACTTTTGTTGTTGGTTGTGCGTTATAGCTAGTTTATTTCTGTTTGACTCAAGTTAATACACGATCAGACATGGAATATTCGGTGGTAATCTACCAATCAAGTTATATTCTTAAAAAATGTGATACCAAAATACGTATACGCCAATCATATACGTAGAACGTTTCTTTTTATTTTAGCTTAACAAATCATTTATAGTTGATAGAATAGTTAATTTAGCTAGTCATGGTGTCTAATTTAAGCACTATACGTTCTTGTATGACAAATTCTTTTGTTTAGTAGGATGATCCGGCCCCAACTAACGGGGAGCTAGGGTGTAAGATTTAACTAGTTTAATAATGTTCCAACCAAAGTAACCAGCTAAAAACACAGACATGTCTGCTTAATTCCCGAGATGATTTGTGGAAATATCCAGCTCACCATCATAATTGAGTTGAAGTTCATATTGTAAAACATAGTAGATTTTGTTAATATCATTCTCCTAAAACTCTACTTGTAATCTTCTGTATAAACTATGTAACCTCATTCTAATATATTCATTCAGTCATTCATCTATATGGTATCAGAGCTAATATATCTAACCTCTTAAATTTTTTTTTTTTTTATGTGACCGCCTCCATCTACTTCTTCTTCTTCCTCTTTTTCTCCTTCTCTTCCTTTCTTTTTCATACTGCAAATCATGACTACTCCAGCCACAAACAATGAGACTATTCCGGTTTCAGAAACTCCCACCCTCCTTAATGTCAACATGACAAATGTGACAAAACTTAGCTCCACTAACTTCCTCATATGGAACCGCTAGATCCATGCCCTCCTTGATGGTTACGACTTGGCAGGATATGTGGATGGATCTGTGATTGTTCCATCACCCACGGTCACTGAAAATGGCATGATCTCACCAAACCCACTCTACCTGTTGTGGAAGAGACAAGATCGTCTCATCTACTCTGCTCTCCTTGGCGCAGTTTCTCCTTCTCTACAGCCCCTTCTCTCTACTGCTGCAACTGCAGCGGATATCTGGACCACCTTATCATCGACTTACGCCAAACCAAGTCGGGCTCACTTCAAACAGTTGAAGCATCAACTAAAGCATTAGAAGAAAGACAACAAGACGATCGACGATTACTTACAAGGCCTAATAACACGTTTTGATCAGATTGCTCTCCTCGGCAAACCACTCGATGTAGAAGATCAGATTGAATTTGTTCTTGAAGGCCTTCCAGAGGAGTATAAACCTGTCATCGATCAGATCGAAAGTCGTGACACTCCCCCAACACTGACCGAGATACACGAACGCCTGCTGAACCATGAGGTGAAGTTACAAACTGCAGTTGTCTCATCTAATCTCCCTATCACGGCAAATGCTGTTACCTACAATGGAAACAGACCCGCAAACAACAATTGCAGTCAAAGTCGCTATAGAGGAAATTCAAACACCCTTTCTGGTAATAGGAACAACTACACTTGGCAACAACAACAACAGCATCACTACTCACCTCGTCCAAGTCGTGGATATCAAGGTCGCTGTCAACTGTGCGGCGTACACGGTCACAGCGCACAACGTTGCTCCCAGTTACACTCGTCTGGATCAACATATGGTTCAAACCATAATTCAGCACCATGGCAGCCTCGTGCTCATCTCGCTACAGCTCCTCAGTTTAGTAATGCTAATAATTGGATCCTTGATAGCGGTGCTACACATCATCTGACCACGGATCTCAACAACCTGTCTCTGCATCAACCATACAATGGCGGTGAGGAAGTCACTATCGCCGACGGGTCTGGCCTACCAATCTCGCATACTGGTTCAGCCTTACTTCCCACTACCTCTCATAATCTTGCCTTACAGAATGTTTTATATGTCCCTAACCTCCATAAAAATCTTATCTCTGTAAACCGTCTTTGCAAAACTAATAATGTATCTGTTGAATTCTTTCCGGCTTACTTTCAGGTGAAGGATCTCAGCACGGGAGCGCGATTGCTGCACGGCAAATCTAAGAACGAGCTATACGAGTGGCCACTTCCTTCCTCCGTCATCTCCCTGTTTGCATCACCTACACCAAAAACAACAACACAGTCATGGCACTCGAGACTTGGGCACCCATCTTTACCCATTCTTAAAACCATTATCTCAAAATTTTATTTACCCGTTTCAGATTCTATGCAAAACTTCTCTCATTGTTCAAATTATCTTCTCAATAAAACTCACAAATTACCCTTTCACACAAACACAATCTCGTCACAAAAACCCCTTCAATATCTATATAGCGATGTTTGGACCTCCCCCATTCTCTCCGTTGATCACTATAAATATTACATTATTTTCGTTGATCATTTCACTCGTTACACATGGCTCTACCCCCTTAAACAAAAATCCCAAGTTCGAGATACCTTCCTAGCTTTCAAAACACTAGTGGAGAATAGATTTCAAAGCAAAATCCTTACCTTATACTCCGACAATGGTGGTGAATTTCTGGGTCTCCGTCCGCTCCTGCTTGCAAATGGCATCTCTCATCTCACTTCACCACCCTACACGCCGGAACACAATGGGATATCTGAGCGCAAGCACCGCCACATTGTTGAAACCGGCTTAACACTCCTCAATCAAGCTGTAATTCCACCGCGATATTGGCCATATGCATTTGCAACCGCCGTATATCTAATAAACCGATTGCCAACACCAGTGATCGGAGACGTCTCTCCCTATGTGAGGCTCTTTGGTCAGGAGCCCAACTATCTTAAACTGCGGGTCTTCGGTTGCCTCTGTTTCCCTTGGCTACGACCATAGGCGTCAAACAAAATGACGGATCGATCTTCAGCATGTGTATTCGTCGGCTACTCATTAACACAAAGTGCATATCTCTGCTTGGAACCTCAATCTGGACGACTCTTCACCTCTCGCCATGTCCAATTCGTTGAAATCTCATACCCGTTCCAAGCGATTACGAACACCTCTCCGCTCCCAACCTTGTCGTCAACGGCTGAAAATCAAACTTCCATAAATCCAGTTGCCATTCCTGTACCCGTCCGGTCACTCGTTCCAGCTCGTTCGTCGCCGCTCCCAAGCTCAGACCATCATCTGAATCTGTCGTCGTCATCTCCAGTGAACTCCAGATACATCGGACATGATGAGCTCGTCTATCCCGAGTGATGATATTACTTGTGGAGACCAGATGGGCTCAGAAAGAAATACACCAGGTATGTCTCAATTAAATCCAGTTTCTGGCCCAAGCCCAAACACTTCTCATATTTTACCAAACCCACTAAATAACCAGCCCATAAACATTCCACTTAACCCAAACTCATCTCCCATCATCCCAAACCCACTAAATAACCAGCCCATAAACACTCAACTTTCTTCCTCGACAGCTACTGAAACCTCTCCGTCAACACAACCATCGTTTCCCTCACCGCTTCCAGCTCGCCCACCAAAGAAATGCCCAAACCCTCCCCCACTAACAATCATCACCCGAGCTACCAATAACATTCTAAAACCAAACCCCAAATACGCCGATAAACCAAAACCCAAATGTGTCCTCACCATACACCGAAAACCCATACCCTTCATCCCACCACCGTGAACCAAGCTATGCGAGATGAAAAATGGCGAAATGCAATGTCTCTTGAGTTCAATGCAGTGACGCGAAATCACACATTCGATCTGGTTCCTCCTTCTCCTAATCAGAATGTCATCGACACAAAGTGGATCTTCACCCTCAAGTATCGACCTAACGGCAAAATTGACAGACATAAAGCACGTCTTGTGGCTCGTGGTTTCAATCAGCAATATGGATTGGATTATGTGGAGACTTTTAGTCCTGTTATTAAATCCACCACAGTCCGATTGGTTCTGGAGCATGCTGTTCGATCAGATTGGAGCATTCGACAATTAGACGTTAATAATGCTTTTCTCCAAGGCACATTGCAGGATGAAGTGTATGTCTCTCAACCCCCTGGCTTCATTGACAAAGATCGTCCCCATCATGTCTGCAAATTACGAAAAGCACTCTACAGGTTGAAGCAGGCTCCACGAGCGTGGTATGAAGAACTCAAACGGACATTACTCGATGCTGGTTTTCAAAACTCTGTCGCGGATACATCCCTTTTCGTATATACTCGAGGTACTGATCAAGTGTATATTCTAGTATATGTTGATGACATTGTGGTTACTGGGAGCAGTGATATCTTGGTGACTCGGATTATTTCACAATTAGTTGCTCGTTTCTCCAACAAAGATCTCGGTCATCTCTCATACTTCTTGGGTATTGAGGCCACACGATCAGCAACATGTCT